TTTTAAAGCCCCTAAGGGGCTCAAACAATAGGTCCCCCCCATTTCAACAAATGAGTTTTTTTTTTTTTTTATAGAAGAGTTCTGCCTTTTAAGACAGGAAAGTATAGCAGTTAAAGTTGCTACTTGAGAAAATACTTAACCATAGAGACAAAAATAGCCCTGTGATTCAAATTATAAATTGTATTTGTAATAAAAATGAGAGAACTAGGGGTGCTAAAAAACACATCCTTCAAAGACAGATATTTACATGGGAATGTGGCATATAATTAATTGAACATATTACTGATCTTGCTGGATTTTATTCTGCTTTACTTCAATAAAATACAGGATCTTCTTTACTTTATCTTTGCCAGAAGATTTAAACTTGCCCTCATAATTTGCAAGTTAATTTATTTATAAATAAAATATAAACGCTGCTTAAAGCTGCAGTCTGTAACATTGAGAAGAGAGCAGACCTCGACTGAAAATTTGAAGAAAAACAGGTTTCACGTCACTCCCCCACCCTCTCTGCTTCACTCATGCCCCACCTCCAAGCTCCACCCCTCTCACAGCATCTGCGCGGCTACCGCATGCGACCAGAAGGGGGGGGGGGGGGGGGGGCGGGATTCAGCGTGTGTGAGCTGTGATTGACAGTCCATCAGACGCTCCTCTGGCTGTGATTGGTTGTTTTGACTCGTCCCGAATTATTCTTTCCAGATGGAAATACAGGCAGTAGGCGGGACCAATTGAAGCAGTTTTTTTCACAGGTTACATATCACATGTACTGCTGTCTGGGCATAGGGACAGTTTTAGCCAATATGACAAAAAAGTGATTTTTTAAAACTTACAGACTTCAGCTTTAAGCTAATTCAATTGAAATTAAAAGTAAAATAAGTAGCCAGCCTTATAACTGTCTGTAACCTACTAACAAGGTAAGGAAAGCATCAGATGAGCTACCAGAGAAACTAACGTTACGTTTCCCCACTTTAAAACGAAACAAACATGGTTTCTCATCCTGCTGATCAGCTCTCTTCACTGCCATCGAAGGCTCCAACGTGTTTCCTTTTCAGGTGCTGCATCATAACAGTGGTGCTTCCGTGCCATGTTAATTTGTTTTTACAAAAGTTGCATGTTACAACTTTTTCGCTTTACAAAGCGCAGGCTGTCTGCGAATTGAGACGCAGCTTGCGTTTGCAGTATCGGTCATTAGAAGAGTTGACGTTACTGCCTTTTGAAAACAGCATTTGGTCAGCTGCGGAGCTTGCTCGCTCTGCCGTATTTTTTTTTCTTCCCGCGTTTCAGTCAAGTGGCAGTGATGACGACGGTGACGGATGACGTATTAATCGCGCAACACAACTAATCGATGATAAAATTTGTTGCCATCGCTTTTAAAAATCGATTTTTATCGATTCGTTGTTGCAGCCCTATTCGGAAGAGAAACTGTTTCCATCCTTTTCTCACTTCTCCTCTTTCACCTGCTTTAAACAGGTAACATATTTGTTAATGTGGTCATCTTACTCTGAGACCCGTAACATACAGTTAGTTGGACTCACCATCCTACACAGCTCATGGTTTTAAAACCTAGCTCCTTCCTAAACTCTCAAATCTTGGGAAGATACCAGGATAATAACAAGACCTTTTCAGAGCTCTTTTTATTGAGTATGGCCTTTGTGCACGGAGGAAGGAAAGTTCTGACAGGTATAGAAGTTTAACAGCAGTTCACATACTGTATCTTTGCCTTCTTCGAGTTCTGAATGGTTTAGGGGAGTGCATTTGGTTGTGCTCTTGCGCTCCTGGTTAATTCAGTGCCTCTGTGGACGGTAATGGAGCTACCTACCTGGAGATGTGTGGCTTGGACGAGCAGTTTACACAATCAGAGCAATATCGTTATTGAACATTTAACCTTAACTATCCTTAAGATACATTCTGTCAGGCATAATATGTTTACATGTTTACTTAGAAAACAGGCAGTGCTGATGAAAAGTTAAGGGTAAAATTTGCTAAGATATAGTAAGATTTAAACAGAGTGGACAGACAATGTTACTGAATTCAATTCAAAGATTAGCAAATACAGTTTACCATTTCTTTTTGTTTTGTTTTTCTTCTCAGGACATGTCCACCATTGTTTCTGTATTCTCTGCACTCTTCTGTGTTTTATTGGCCCAGTCCTCATTCTGTAATGGAAGTAAGATCCTGGTAGTGCCTGCTGATGGCAGCCACTGGATCAACATGAAGATCATCCTTGAAGAGCTTCATGCCAGGGGCCATGACATCACAGTTATGCGCTCTGAGAAGAGCTGGTTCATCCCTAGTACTTCCCCTATTTATACCTCAATTAATGTCACAATGTCTGAGGATGATGCAGACAGAGAATTCTACATTAAAATGCTCAAGGACGGAATTGATCGCCGCAGCTATCCCAATTTTATACGGACACTTTACCAACAGCATTTGCTCACATCTGAAATATGTGATGGTCATAAGATTCTGGCCAAAATAGCTGCAAAAATTATAGAGGACGCAGAGTTAATTAAGAGATTACAGGATACTAAATTTGATATAATATTGACAGACCCTGCCATTACTTTTGGGGTTATTCTGGGTAGTTATCTCAAGTTGCCGATGGTATTTAATGTCCGCTGGATGAATCTAGGTGAGGGTCATTTAGCCATGGCTCCCACCCCTGTGTCTTATGTCCCTGTATCAGGAAGTGAACTTCCTGATCAAATGGATTTTCCAGAGAGGATTAAAAATATGTTGCATTATCTCCTCAATGTTTATGAGCAGTACTTCGTTATTAACCCAGTCTACTCAGAGCTGTTCCAGAAACACTTTCCTCCTGGCACGGACATGATTTCTTTGGAGCTCTCAGCTGATATCTGGCTGTTTAGGGCAGATTTTGTCTTTGAGTTTCCACGGCCCACCATGCCTAATGTGGTGTACATTGGGGGGTTCCAGTGCAAGGAGGCCCAACCTCTCCCTGATGATTTGGAGGAATTCATGCAAAGTTCTGGAGAACATGGGGTTGTGATCATGTCTCTGGGATCACTGGTGTCAGCTCTGCCTTCAAATATCACTGAAGCCATCGCTGCTGCATTTGCTGAGCTCCCTCAGAAGGTGATTTGGCGGACTTTAGGTGACGAACCTTCATCTCTAGGAAATAACACCCGGCTAGTAGAATGGTTTCCCCAAAAGGACCTTTTAGGACACCCTAAGACCCGTCTCTTTGTAGCCCATGGGGGAACCAATGGAATGTATGAAGCCATCTATTACGGTGTTCCCTGTTCTAGGCTTACCCCTCTTGTTTGATCAATTTGACAACTTACTCAGACTGAAGGTGCGCGGTGCAGCTCGAGTGGAAGAGGTCAGGACTCTGACTAAAGACAGTTTCCTGGAGGCTCTGAAGGACATCTTAGAAAATCCATCTTACCGTAAAAACATCCAACATCTCTCTCAGCTACACCATGACAGACCAATGTCTCCAATGGACACTGCCATCTTCTGGATAGAGTATGTCATCAGGAACAAAGGAGCTGCTCACCTGAAGTCAGCAGGTTTCAATCTGCCTTGGTATTCCTACTTCTGTTTGGATGTTGCAGCCTTTCTTTTGGCCATAACTGGAACCTTCATCATGGGTTCAATCTTTGTCTGCAGGTTTCTCTGCTGCAGGAAATCCAACAAGAAAATAAAAACAGAGTAAATCACCAAAATAACAACTCTAATAACTTTAAAACTGGAATATAGGTATTTACTCTACCATTTTTTTAAAGTGCATCCCAACTATTATGCCTTATACACTTGTCTTAAAATAATAAAACTCTTAAATAAAAATTTACATGTAATGAAGTCCCACTTTTGGAAACAGTTCATTAACCTGCATCCATTACTTTTCATTTTTCCCCAAAGAGGCCTGTATATGAACAAAAAATAAAGAAGTGCAAACTACTACCTTTTTCCTCATAAACAATGTTGTGTTGAGACCACTGTGGTCTTAACCAATTTGTAAGCTGCATAAAAATGTTTTTTGTTTACATTTTGACTTTTGAAAACAGAATTGCTCTTGCAACGGTACAAAACTATTCCTTAAAAACAGAAAAATTTACTTTTCTTTCTTCATGTGTTTCTCATATCTGGATGTTCAAACTTTGAATAAATTATAAACATCATTATATTGTGGGAAATCCCCCCCCCCCTTTTTTTAACTGATGCATTATTACCATGTATATTCAAAACTTGTTAAAGATTATCTAGCCTAAAACATACCCCAGAAAAAGTCCTAATCATTACACTTTAAGAGATAGAGAGGAGAGGAATGCCACTAGTGCATAAGTCAGAATCGTATCAAACTTAGTGATCTCGTACAACTGTCAGAGACTTACAGTTTAAAGCATCAAACTTGGTCCCTTTAGCATTCTATGTTTCAAAGATTTACACAGAGGGTGAAGAAAGGTAGCCTGGGTGCCATTCCGAACTTAGTCCCGCCCACAACGTCTGAGGTCGGGAAGTTCGGTCTGGCATTGCTCAGTAGTAGCGCGAGTATGCTCGCACAATATCTGGCGGGCCAATCAAATTGTCAGGGCGGGCTTTATACGATGATGGACAGATGATCAACAGTAACGTAATCAACCATGTGACCAAAGCGCGCTTGGGTGACAACAACAATGGCTGCCACTGGAGATTTGAGGTGTGTAGATTCTGCTATTAGGTCTGTTCTAGAAGATATCGACAGCAAATTAATTTTAAAAGAGGAACAGAGAAACGCGATCAAGGCTCATCTTCTTATTCTAAGCGTGCAACTGCACGCTTTGAGTTTTGTTGACAACAACTATGCGTGGCTTAACATACGTCACGCACTCCGTTTCTCTTATTGGTTGTAGGTCTATCCAATTGAGTGCAGAGGCATTTTTTTCCCTGGTTCGTTCGAAACACGCCCCATAATCACAGCTCTATGGAGCAGTATCAGACTCATATTCTGACTAGAATTGAGTAGGACTACGTTAGGCTAGAAGAAAGGTTCTTTTGGCAAGGAATTATTCAAAAATCTGAATTTGTGTAAAGAAAGTTTAGAAATAAGAATCAAGTTTACGATCATAAAGTCCAATTTTGAATGTACAATATTTTATTTGAATTGTTGTTTTTGCCTAAGCCTCGAGGAAATCCAGGAGCTGCGCCCTTATTGCAGGTATGTGTTAGAAATGAGAAAATGATTCATTTCCTAATATACCATGCAGCAGGACATCTAAATGATCCCATTTTTGAAGCCTTGAAGCCTGAGCAATAAAATTGTTAAACAATCCATATATAATTTCAATATCTAAAGATGCATCCCAAATTCAATACTTTTAACAGTATAGACTACTGTAGATTCCGTTGATGCTACCAAGTGCAGATTCATGTAAAATCAAACGGCACAGTACTATGATTCGGTACCTTAATGCATCATTGTGATATGGAGGGAATGGCAATTTTCCATAGCACTCATGAAAATAGCATTGCATGCACAATACTGTGATTATGTCAGATGGCACTAATGCAGTAAACAAAGCAAGTATGACTAAAAGAAATCATGAGATAATGGCTATGTTTTTGAAAATGCGATGCTGACTGTGGCCTCTACAATTTCTGAATAAAATGTAAGATGAGCAGCGGTAATTCTAATCTAAGGAAGTGGGATTTTCTTAAGGCTGTAGAGAGCAGAGTTTGACACCCTAGGATCCTGGGCTAGCAGTGAGGGGCAGCTGAATCAGTATTTTCATCTACTTCAGCTAAATAACTATTGTTTAAGACAAAATGAACATGATACTCAAAATAGGGATCAATGAGTATCAAGGCAGATTCCCAGGTAAAGGGATCTGCCCGGATTCAATCAGTTCAAATATGAAAAGTAACAAAATTCATATTGTATGTGTTCAACTTCCACTCAGTAGTTAAATCCATTATTATTTTATCTACCTTCTCCAATGGAGGAAGAAAAAAAAAATTTAAATGAATATTATAGAAATAAGCCGGCTATGAGAGCAGCAAGCTCCTAAAAATGGCATTGCTATTCTAAAATAAATTTTGTATTCACACCAAGAATTTCCTTCATTAAAAACATATTGTGCTCTGCAAAGTTACACAGGTTCTGTTCTCCCACCGGTACAAGATGGATTCTCAAGCATTTGTAAACTCAGAAATATTGCGACAATTCTGCTTTCAGGCGAGATTAATGGCAATGCAGATTTGGCGAGAAATTTTTGTCAAAGTAACACCAGCCAAATCTAATTTTTAACAGTCTTAAAATGAGTATATATATTTCAAAGAAAAAAACTATGTCTGGTTGCCCTGATTACATAATTTACTGTAACTTAAAAGAAATTGTTATGGGTTAATAAAATTTTCTAGAAAGAGAGTGACTACACTGTTGACTTAGATACAGATATGTTACGTAATTAAAGCAAACAAGTTTTACACACAAGAAATAAAGCTTTCTAATATACTTTATCTTTATCACACATACTGGACTTTGTCTCATAAGCTGAGGGTGACTCAGGTTAAAATGTGAGCTGAGTATCAGTCAGGATTCTGCTTCCGGACAACAGACAGGCAGCTCAGGCGTAATCTCTGGAACTGGGTTCTTCAACGGCTGAGAAGTGCTGATTATACTTGGTATGAACAATACATATAACTCATTTTTTTATTTTTTTTATTTTGTCTGTAATTCTAAAAGGATAAAGCAAGTTTTGATTCTGTCATTTTCTACATATCTTTTAGAGCAATACTGTTTCATATCTGGACGAACAACACAGGCAAATGTAACGGCATTCTGTTAATGCATTCACGTTTATGAAAATATGGAAAAAAGTACTAAAAGCAATTCCCATCATTCATAAATAGTCCGTTTTAATTAATTCCATAGATAGTATAGAAATAGTTAACTTCCAAATGTCCTAATATTTAGGATTAAAAAGAAACTAAAAAAAGAAATATAATTAACAGAGGTAAAAATGTATGTTTTCAAAACTCAAATAAAAAAAATATATACTTCATAGAGTTGGACATAACAGCTACATGAAAGTAAAACAGCTGTAACAATGTCCAGCAAAGATAAACATACTTTGGGTTGAAATGAGCTCATAAAACCAGATCAAGGAAAAATAGTTACTGGTTGAAGCTGGTAAGGCAATGTCATTGGTCACACATACCTTAATGTATGGAGATATGTTCTTAAATGAAATGTTTGAATATAATGGTGAGCATTACATGTGGAAATAAAAATAGTGAGTCACAGGATCTTTTTTTAGAAGTTGTAGAGCCTTCATCTAAAGAAGAAGAAGAAAGTTTATCAAATGTCCTCTAGGCAGGCATCTGGTTTATAGTCTTAGCGAGGGGTTGCAGTCCATTCATTACATACAATTCATAGTAAAGTCTATGATCTGATCCCATATGAAAGGATAATCACATACTCCTATAAGTCAGGGGCACTCAATTATGCAGAGCTGATGCAGCTTTTTTTAAACTTTAATTATTTGAGGTATCTTCAGCATTTTATCTTTGCCTGTGTTTTGTGTGTTAGCATCATATGTTTGCAGCAGGTTTAGCGTTTAAAGCACATTTGGACTTGGCTGCTCTTTATTTTCTGCAACATTTATCCTTTCGCTGCTCTTTATTTTCTGCAGAATTTATCCTTTGGCTGCTCTTTATTTTCTGCAACATTTATCCTTTGCAAGATTTTTCCTTTGCATCTGTTTTATGTGTTGGTCTGTAAGTCTAATTTTTGTCTTTGTTGGTTTAGCCTTTTTGTCTTTCAAGACGGTTTCTAACTTTACAGTACTTTTTATATTGGTTACCCATTTTTGTAATTGCAGTCCACTTGGCTCTCTCAGTCATTGTACTTCTCACTGTCTAAAGTATCAATACATGCTGGGTGAATAACTGTTAGCATCGACAACCATCTTGGAGCAAAAAAACTCAGTTTTTAAATCTAATCTCTAACATTCTTTTTCTTTATTGGGAATTAACTTTTTGTGTTTTGCTTTACAGAAAATGTCCAACTCTGTCACAGTATTTCTGGCAGTACTCTGCTGTTTTTTGCCAAGACCCTCTGACTCTAGCAAGATCCTGGTGGTACCTGTTGACGGCAGCCACTGGATCAACATGAAGATTATCCTTGAAGAGCTTCACTCCAGGGGCCATGAAATCACAATTTTGCACTCAGCCAAGAGCTGGTTCATTTCCAGTAACTCCTCCATTTATACCTCCATTCATGTTCCAATGCTAGAGGATGAGACAAATGCAAATTTTATGAAATTGATAGAAGATGGAATACAGTGCCGAAGGTATCCTACTTTTATACGCTCATTTTGTCAACAGAATTTGCTGACACAGATGTTAGAGGAGGGCCATAAGGGTTTAGCGCGATTAGCAGGTAAAACTTTAGAGGATCCAGTGTTAATGCAGAACTTACAGGATAGTAAGTTTGAAATAATTTTGACAGACCCTGCTTTTCCTTTAGGGGTTATTGTGGGTGGTTACCTTAAGCTGCCGATGGTCTTTAATGTCCGCTGGATTAATAATGGAGAAGGTCATCAAACTATAGCCCCTTCTCCTGTCTCTTATGTGCCTGTATCAGGAAGTGAACTTCAGGATCAGATGGATTTTCCAGAGAGGATTAAGAATATGTTGCACTATTTCTATAATATTTATGAGATGTACTACATTATAAACCCAGCCTACTCAGATGTGTTCAAGAAACACTTTCCTCCTGGCACAGACATGATTTCTTTGGATCTTTCAGCTGATATCTGGCTTTTTAGGGGAGATTTCGTTTTTGACTTTCCACGGCCCACCATGCCTAATGTGGTGTACATAGGGGGGTTCCAGTGCAAAGAAGCCCAACCTCTCCCTGATGATTTGGAGGAATTCATGCAGAGTTCTGGAGAACATGGGGTTGTGATCATGTCTTTGGGAACAGTGGTGTCAGCTCTGTCTTCAGATATCACAGAAGCAATAGCTGCTGCATTTGCTGAGCTCCCTCAGAAGGTGATTTGGCGGTTTGTGGGTGACAAACCTTCATCACTAGGAAATAATACCCGGCTAGTAAAATGGTTTCCCCAAAAGGACCTTTTAGGACACCCTAAGACCCATCTCTTTATAGCCCATGGGGGAACCAATGGAATGTATGAAGCCATCTATCACGGTGTTCCTGTTCTGGGTTTACCCCTGATGTTTGATCAGTTTGACAACTTACTCAAGCTGAAGGTGCGCGGTGCAGCTCGAGTGGTGGAGATCGGATCTCTGACCAAAGATAGTTTCCTGGAGGCTCTGAAGGACATCTTAGAAAATCCATCTTACCGTAAAAACATCCAACATCTCTCTCAGCTACACCGTGACCAACCAATGTCTCCAATGGACACTGCCATCTTCTGGATAGAGTATGTCATCAGGAACAAAGGAGCTGCTCACCTGAAGTCAGCAGGTTTTAATCTGCCTTGGTATTCCTACTTCTGTTTGGATGTTGCAGCCTTTCTTTTGGCCATAACTGGAACCTTCATCATGGGTTCAGTCTTTGTCTGCAGGTTTCTCTGCTGCAGGAAATCCAAAAAGAAAATAAAAGCAGAGTAAATCACCATAAACACATTTTGCTCAAGAATTGTATGTCTATGTTCACCTAAAAGAACTGATAGTGACAAAAAAAAATCATCTGTAATGCATTTAAACCTATTTCCAACAATTTTAGGCTATGACTATATGTATTGCAAAGAAGAGTCTGTTTTTGGGGGGGGGGAAATAAAGCCAGAGATGTGGAGAAAATTTCAGATGTCATTTAAAGTTTTATGGGTTTTTAAGGATACTTTCAATTTGTTGTCAAAAACATTACAGAAACCTAAGCTAAAAGGCAAAGATTTTCAAAAATAAAAAAGCTTTACTATTGTCTTCAGTGTTGTGGTTATTTGTGTGTTTACACCTCAAGTGAAAGACTAAGCTTTATAAAAATAAAAAAAACAACGACAAAAAAAAACAGTATTAGAGTGGGCCTGAGGGGTTGGGAATATCTATTTTAACAGATCTGCATCCTAACAAGTTGTAATGAGTGACACTTTTATTATTTCTTAAAAGTACATTTTTGTTCCTATATATTGCAGAGGCAAAGTGATTATTTAAATGACACCTGTTTACATTACAGGAATTAACAACTAAAGATAAAGAAGATCAAGGACACGTTTTGTAGATTTACATTTAAATATTTACCCAATTTTGAGTTATTATGCTACCAATTGTGAGGTATCTACTCTATACACAAAGAGTTTTACAGGACAGTAAAAGAAAAAGGAAGTAACTGACACAATAGAAGAATACATTAGTGCAATTATGATAATGATCAAATGTAGGCTTTAGATAAAAACCATTGCAATTAAGTTAAAAACAAAAAAATAGCAAGGCATTGGTAAAAAAAAAATGGTTAGAAATTGCTCTTTGGATAAAAATTCTTCTTTGGAAATGCTGTCATAGTTCTCCTTAAAGTAGCCAACACTCGTCATGAATGGTTTTGAGGTCAGGAGCAGAGTAACTAAACCCTCCTTTAGTAATTGTGTCCATATAGTTTGATTTCACTCCCTTTATATCATTAGTTGCATGCTGTTGCAGCTGCCTGTCAGTGAAAGCAACATGTGAATTCATTCTCATTATGGGACAGTGTGAAGATAATTATCATCAGGAGTTGAAAACTGTTATAAATCCAGAACAACCCAAAGTTTAGTCTGAGAAACAACTACCAACCGAAAAAAAACTAAAGGTTTGAGTACTAATATCCTGCTACAGGACACTCCTCAGATGTTCTTTGTCCAGGCAATAATTAATCCTTTTGGTGATAATAGGACATGCTCAAATATAATCAACTTATTAAGATTTACTGATAATCTGGGAACTCTGACTCTTCCCGCCTTATTCGGACAAAGGTCAGTTTTCTAATCTCAGCTTTAATTTTTGACATGACAGAATTGGAAATAAGTCAAGTCAATTAAAACTTTCACAATCCTTTGAAGGGCAGTTTTTTTGCAGCCACCAGTATATGTAGCACACAAGGAGGAGCAGACAGGCACAAACGGTATATACACAGAATGTATATGAGTATAATGTGCAAGAAGAGTTAAACCCAAGCATTCAGCATTATTTTACATAAATAAGACGGATCAAAAAAGAAGATAAAGCTCATCTCTCACTTGTAGAGTGATCTTGCATGTGAGATAAAAACAACAACCTTTTCCATATAAGAGCAATAAAATAACATCTGCTCTGCGATATTGAAATAACCTACATGAAAAACTGTTTATTTTGCAGTCGCAATACTGTGATGGACTCAAGGAAAAGGTCACATTCAGGTGGCTTCCTGTTTGAGCATGTTTATATCAGTCTACATGCTCAGGGAGGTTCACACAGGGGCACTCAGTAAGCGGGAGACTGCTCAGAGGTTGTAAAATCTCGTGGGATTTTCAGCCTACTAGGGACTAACTTCAGTTATTCAATCAATCAAAGATCTGTGACATTTAAAAGGAAACCAACCGAATGACCCCCACTGCCTTTGAAACTGCGTGGTAAAAATACAGACCGACACTTATTGTCTCAATGAATCCATTCTTTACTCAAACAATTTCAATTGTCTGGGATTTTTTTCAACCCCTTTGCTGAGAGAAAATATCCAGGACTACAATTCAGCTCACTATGTTTCTATAAGTAAATCTAAGTTATGGTTTGAGTTAAAGAGATTAGTAAACATTTTTAACCGCTTCATTCTAAAGCAGCTATATTTAAGCTTTGTAAGTTTTATTTCAGGCTTTTATTTGAGATTTAAACTTTACCATGTCTGACTTAATAATCACACACAAACACCACAATGCTTTCTCTTTATTCTCTTTTACTTTTGACTGATCTTTTAAATAGATATTTATAGTCATTTTCCTTGAAAGCTAAACACACATTTTTATCAATTACCTAGCTATTAAACCCTCAGAAATGTATACAATGGTCTTTTTTTTAAATTACGGGACTGTCAAATGCAATTCACAGCTTTGAGTTCCTTAATCTGCTTATGGTCCTACAGACTAAAACATTTTTGATGACTAAAAACTAGAAAAATGTTTATTTCATTCTCTACGCTCGCTTATTAATTTTCAGTATAGGAACTATTTTTGTTGCCTTGATTGTCAAGATATTGTCAAGAGAAATAAAATGTGTTATATCACCAGTTAAAGGTGCAGTAGGAGATCTTTTCTGACACATTTTTTACCATGTGGCTTGAAGATCTCCCCAACTGTCGCTTAGCAAGCAGTGAAATAGAAGGTCTGGAAGTGAAACTACAACAAATGCTCCCCGCTAAAGCGAAAAATTAATGAGTAACGTCAACCAATCGCAAAACATGTGTCCGTTGTACCTGATTGGTTCCTGACACGTCAATCATGGTCGTCTGCTTGTCCCTGTATGTATTTATATATATATATATATATATATATATATATATATATATATATATATATATATATATATATATATATATATATATATATAAAGAAGTTTTCTCACCCCTCATGGGGTGGTATGTGTCATCCTCAAGCTCGGGTCCTCTGGCCTCAAGCCTGGGAGTTTGAGGGTTCTGCGCAGTATCTTAGCTGTTCCTAGGACTGCGCTCTTCTGGACAGAGGCCTCTGATGTTTTACCTGGAATCTGCTGTAGCCACTCTCCCAGTTTGGGGGTCACAGCCCCCAGTGCTCCTATTACCACTGGCACCACTGCTGCTCTTACTTTCCACATCTTTTCTAGCTCCTCCTTCAGTCCTTGGTATTTCTCAAGCTTCTCGTGTTCTTTCTTCTTGATGTTGCTGTCGCTTGGGATTGCCACATCTATCACTACTGCCTTCTTCTGCTGTTAGTCGATCAACACGATGTCTGGTTGGTTAGCCATCACCTGTTTGTCAGTCTGGATCTTGAAGTCCCATAGGATCTTAGCTCAGTCATTCTCAACTATATATATATATATATATATATATATATATATATATATATATATATATATATATATATATATATATATATATATATATATAATGTGTGTGTGTGTCAGAAAGGTATGGCCCACCTTGCCTGAACTTGAGTGGTGTTCTGTTGTTGGACTTCGGTACTAGTCATGGAATGTCCAAAACAAACATGTTCAATGATCGACTTTGTTGTTGTTTCATCTTACCTGCGGCCGCATGTCTTGGACACTTGGATGAAGACGGGGTGGAACTCTCCACCGACCACTATGTCGTGGTGAGTTTGCTCGGATGCTGGGGGAGGATGCCGGCCAGACTTGGTAGGCCCAAATGTATTGTGAGGGTTTGCTGGGAACGTCTGGCAGAGTCCCCCGTGAGAAGGAGCTTTAACTCCCACCTCCGGGAGAGCTTTGAAGACGGTCCGAGGGAGGGGGGGACCTTGAGTCTGAGTGGACCATGTTCCATGCCTTTATTGTTGAGCCGAGCTGTGGCTACAAGGTTGATTGTGCTTGTCCTATACATACATACATATATATACATATATATAAATATACGTATACACTATATTGCCAAAAGTATTTGCTCACCTGCCTTGACTCACATATGAGCTTAAGTGACATCCCGTTCCTAATCCATAGGGTTCAATATGACGTCGGTCCACCCTTTGCAGCTAGAACAGCTTCAACTCTTCTGGGAAGGCTGTCCACAAGGTTTAGGAGTGTGTTTATGGGAATTTTTGACCATTCTTCCAGAAGCGCATTTGTGAGGTCGCACACTGATGTTGGACGAGAAGGCCTGGCTCTCAGTCTCCGCTCTAATTCATCCCAAAGGTGTTCTATCGGGTTGAGGTCAGGACTCTGTGCAGGCCAGTCAAGTTCATCCACACCAGACTCTGTCATCCATGTCTTTATGGACCTTGCTTTGTGCACTGGTGCACAGTCATGTTGGAAGAGGAAGGGGCCAGCTCCAAACTGTTCCCACAAAGTTGGGAGCATGGAATTGTCCAAAATGTCTTGGTATGCTGAAGCATTCAGAGTTCCTTTCACTGGAACTAAGGGGCCAAGCCCAGCTCCTGAAAAACAACCCCACACCATAATCCCCCCTCCACCAAACTTTACACTTGGCACAATGCAGTCAGACAAGTACCGTTCTCCTGGCAACCGCCAAACCCAGACCCGTCCATCAGATTGCCAGATGGAGAAGCGCGATTCGTCACTCCAGAGAACGCGTCTCCACTGCTCTAGAGTCCAGTGGCGGCGTGCTTTACACCACCGCATCCGACGCTTTGCATTGCACTTGGTGATGTATGGCTTGGATGCAGCTGCTCGACCATGGAAACCCATTCCATGAAGCTCTCTGCGCACTGTTCTTGAGCTAATCTGAAGGCCACATGAAGTTTGGAGGTCTGTAGTGATTGACTCTGCAGAAAGTTGGCGACCTCTTCGCACTATGCGCGTCAGCATCCGCTGACCCCGCTCCGTCAGTTTACGTGGCCTACCACTTCGTGGCTGAGTTGCTATCGTTCCCAAACACTTCCATTTTCTTATAATACAGCTGACAGTTGACTGTGGAATATTTAGGAGCGAGGAAATTTCACGACTGGATTTGTTGCACAGGTGGCATCCTATCACAGTTCCACGCTGGAATTCACTGAGCTCCTGAGAGCGACCCATTCTTTCACAAATGTTTGTAAAAACAGTCTGCATGCCTAGGTGCTTGAATTTATACACCTGTGGCCATGGAAGTGATTGGAACACCTGATTCCAATAATTTGGATGGGTGAGCAAATACTTTTGGCAATATAGTGTATATACACATACATATATATACACATACATACATATATATGTGTGTATATATATATATATATATATATATTTATATATATACATTTATAGGGCAAGACACAATCTGAAGAAATGCAGCACATATGCACATTTTCTTAGCACATTTGTTTGTATTGTAATAACCGTAAAAAAAAACAATCACTGCTACGTCCAACTGCTTTTATTAAAAATACGAACCCTTTTATCTGTGTCATTGTGCATCTCGTTGACCTTTTGAGTATATTCACTTTGCACAATCAGTCACAATTTCCATACAGTAAAGTTTAGAAGATCAGAGTAAAATATGGACTCTGGTCACCTTGCAATGTTGGGAAAAAGCTTCAGTTGCAGTATGCATTTGCTTAAAAATTTAGAGGTTTTTTTTTCTCTCCTTTTAGGTGAAAATGCTTACAGGTCAGGATGTCTCAACTCTCCACCTTTAGTAATTGTGACTACAGGGTGGCAGAGAAAAATAGAGAGAGCGTATGTTTTTGTTCTGTGTCAGAAAGGCGTTCTCCTGCCTCAGGATGTTGCCTTTAAAGCTGAAGAAGTGAGCTTCCTGTGGAGGAAGCGATCACAGAATAGACAAGGGCTGGGCGAGACACCGTGTTCCCAGCTTTCTTGAGCTCAGGTCACCCATTTGCAGAGAATGGGACCACACTTTTGGACTCAGTCTCATTCCCAGAGCTTTAATTGGTGAGGGAAACCATAGATTGTTGCATTGTTTTTCTTTCTGCATCTGCTGGCATCAGACTATCGGTTAGAACTCACACCGTCTGCTTTGCGGGTTTTATTTTCATTGATGGATCCAAGATGCTTTGAAGATCCGTTCTCCATTCCTGGATGGATTTATGAATTCTACAAGATGAATGCATTAAGTTCCCATTTTCCTTGAGTGAGTAAATGGTTACCTTAGAGCTAAGGCCTCATCTCATAGCTCCTATGTCAGATGCTTAACCAACAGAGACATGTCCAATGACACTTGCAACCTGCCCCTGGACACCGACATCTTTGGACTGACCTGTGTCTATGGTGTCATTTTTTCCTTGGGCCTGCCCAGTAACCTGTTGTCTCTATGGGGCTTGTACCACCTTGGTCGCTCAGGTGCGGGAGGCTGTCAGCTCGTCTACATCCTCAACCTGCTGCTATCAGACCTTCTCCAGCTGCTCACTCTGCCCCTTTGGATCCTGTATCTCCAGGGCCCTCACCGCTGGCCCTATGGCCGACTTACCTGCGAACTGGTTGGCTACGTGTTTTATGGGAACGTCTATGCCAGCGTCATGTTCCTTTGCCTGATCGCTATGGATCGCTTTCTGGCTATTGTATATCCACTCAGCAGCCGCAGGGTACGGACAGTAAAGGTTTCAGCTCTGTTGGGCATAGCTGTGTGGATCCTAACCTTTCTGTTCTGCCTGAGTGGGCTGCTGCCATCTGTGTTTGACTCTGACCGGCTGTTGTGTCTGGAAAAGTATCCAGTCAGCCCCAGATATGCTCACTTTAAGATCATTACCGCCGTACTGGGCTTTCTACTGCCATGTGCTATTCTAGGGTAAGTTAGCTCCATGAATCAAAATGTACATTGTTTAATCTCAGTACTTAATTTATGTCCTAAATTAATTAGTAGAAGACTAAACCAAACAATATTTTTTTTCTTCAACTGATTTTTTTATTTTGATGCTGAAGTTTGTTTTTGTCCTAGTAGAACTGTGGAGTAGTTATGACCAGCAGGTATCTTACCTGCAGCAGACAGAAGCCAGAATAATCTCACTTTTGATAGTAATGGTAACATTTTCACGAGTGACCCTTATTTCTTGGCACATAGGCCACTTCTGGTTCTGTGCAATCTGCATAAAAAGTCCCAGTCAAACAGCTCCTGGCCATCTTCCATGAGTTCAATACTGTCAGAGTGAAGCTAAAAGCAAAATAAAGTTAACATTCATTTAGATTCAAGCTAATTGCTAATTAAATTAATTCCAGAGTCTAACACCTACTGAGAGTCAAGCTTGCACCTGAATAACCCATAAACACCAACTACAGAATCATATAACTACTCAAGAGTCCAATTTACACCTGGTTAATCAAGCTAATAGCTACTTAAATTAAGCTCAATATAAAAGGAATATGATCTTATTTACATGTTCAGTAATATGTGTTCACTTTGTACTGTTCCAACAATAGAAATCTATTTAGCTAAATCCACCAGAAAATGTTTCTCTTCCATTGAACAACAGGTTTTTCCCTGTAAAACATTTTTTTCTTTCCCAAGGTAAGCAATACAATATCTTTGTATATGACTCAGTGTTATTGCTGGCAGATCATCATGAGTCTGCAGCAAGTTATCTAATATCATGATAAAGTACATTTAGTCAAGTAGGGGAAGTTGGGACAATTAAAGGAGAAGTTCGGTTTTTTACACTTTAAGCCCATTTTCTGTAGTGTCCAGGATGAAATCGAATGATCGACACCAAAAGTTTGACAATTGGTCCTGTCTCTGCTTTTTGGCTCATGCAGAATCACCCCCTGGCTGCTTCATAATGGCTGCCATAGTGCATGTCGGATAATGTCCTTAAAACAACCTTAAACGTTCTTTTTTTAAAATATGCTACTCACCGGGTCGTCAGCGCTGTTCAATGACGTTCCAAAAAAAGTTTCGTGAAGAAAAACCGTTCCTGTCTTGTTTTATTTAGCATTTTGTAAATCCCATTGAGTTCTGTAGGAATAGTCAATATTCCCCTGCCACCGGAAACGGAAATGGGGCCTGTTTACACAGTTGTAGTCTTTTCGCTTCACTCTGTGTACTCTGACGTCGAGAATCAAGAATCCACCTTTCGTATTCCATTTTCAGAGTTTTTTAAAGTGTTTAACAGAGACGTTAGCACCTCGACGTCGGAGTACACAGAGTGAAGCGAAAAGACTACAACTGTGTAAACAGGCTCCATTTCCGTTTCCGGTGGCAGGGGAATATTGACTATTCCAACAGAACTCAATGGGATTTACAAAATGCTAAATAAAACAAGACAGGAACGGTTTTTCTTCACGAAACTTTTTTTGGAACGTCATTGAACAGCGCTGACGACCCGGTGAGTAGCATATTTTAAAAAAATGTCGGATAATGTGGTAAATGGCATGTACTTATATAGCGCCTTTATTCAAGTTAGGAGACTTGACCAAAGCGCTTTACACTACATTCATTCACCCATTCACGCACACACACACACACTGATGGTGGCAAGCTACATTGTAGCCACAGCTGCCCTGGGGCTCACTGACAGAAGCGAGGCTGCCGTACACTGGCGCCACCGGGCCCTCTGACCACCATCAGTAGACAATGCAGGTGAAGTGTCTTGCCCAAGGACACAACGACAATGAAAGCCGGAGTCGGGGCTTGAACCATCAACCCTCCGATTACAGGGCAAACTCCTACATCCAACGCCACTGTCGCCACTGTCGTCCTTGTTTTAAGGACATTATCCGACATGCACTATGGCAGCCATTATGAAGCAGCCAGGGGTTGATTCTAAATGAGCCAAAAAGCAGAGACAGGAGCAATTGTCAAACTTTTGGTGTCGATCATTCGATTTCATCCTGGACACTACAGAAAATGGGCTTAAAGTGTAAAAAACCGAACTTCTCCTTTAAAGGCAGGCTAGTATAGCACAATTTAGTAACGGCTCAATTAAAAGTGCTGTACATGAAAAAATGCACCAGAAAAAGACACAGAAAAAAGTACATTGCAGCATGATAAAAAAAAATGATAAAAAAATGATTGTAAAACTTAAAAAGCAATTGTTTTAGATGATTGTAATGACTTAAAAAAATAAAACCTCCTCTAAAAAAAGGTAAATCTGCACAACAGATTGTTTTTAAACTCAAACAAAAGACAATGATAAGGAATTGAAACAAGCAAAATTAAGCAATGACAAAAAACAGTTTTTTTCATTGAGTCAACGAGGTTTGATGTTGGCATTTGAACAATCAAGTTCCTATCTGATCTAAATCTCCTCTTCCACCCCCAGGTACACCTCAGCACATATTGGGGTGACACTACGGCGGTCTCCATCTCTCACCAACCATGAGCGCTATAAAATTGTAGGGATCTTGGTTGTGATTACTTTCAACTTCATAGTTGTCTTTGGACCCTACCACCTGGTGGGGGGTTACAGGTTTGTTTCCCTGCTGCGGACAGATGACCCGTGCCCATTTGAGCAGTCGATTTTCTATGTCTACCGCCTCTGCTATGGCCTGACCAGCCTCAACACTCTCCTGGATCCCCTTTTTTACATCTTCCTCTGCCCTGATGCTCGGCTAGAGCTGCAGAGATCCCTGCCCTGTCTGAGAAGAGGACAAACCAACCATAAGAACATGATGATGAGTACCAGACTCCACCTGGACAAACTGAAGGAGAACGAAAAGAGACATAACTTTGTAACTATTTAAACTGGACAGACCATGTATAATCAGATATTAAATCAAGGCAATGGCGCCATCTGCTGGACAATTGCATTTTCTTGCTCTTTTAATTTGAAAAACAATTTCTGTTTCCTTAAAAAAAAACATAAATAAGCACCTGTAAAGTACAAAAAAATGTGTGAAAGGATGTTTAACTTTGTCCCTCTAATACAGTTATTGAATGCAATATGGGGTTTTCTGTCATGAGTGATCTCTTAAGGGTCACATCACTGCACTTTAGTTTGAGCTTGACCAGTCCACTCCAAAACATTCTTATAGATGGATTAGAAGTGGACTCACTGGTTTTTATTTATTGTTCTGTTACAAAAAATAAGCACCTAAGTTTAAAGTCAGAAAGTGATGATCTTGACATTCTCCTTAGGAATTTTCTTCAGTTGAGCCGAATTCAAGACCCTATCACTTTCGCCAAATTGTCCTGAAGCAGAAAAGGTGACATATCATCATACTTCCACCAAAAAATTTTTATATTGGCATAGTGTTCCTTTTCTCAAGTGCTGTTTGTTTTACAGTTTACAAAAAACAAAAATATTTTATTATTATTATTATTATTCAATAACTCTCCATGATTATCAAGAAGTTTAGGAAACGTTTCTTCTCAGGCTCTCTTTTTAATTATTCAATCACGAACCTCAACCGGAACCCCAGACTTCGGAAATGGCTCTGTAATGTTTCTAGAATGATGCATATTTTGAGCTTTCTTTATCTGGTTTTAAATGTATCTAAATCAATGCATAAAGTTTTGCTCTTTGAGATCACTAAGACAACTTCATGTATTCAAACAGACTCCATGTCAAGGGGTTTCTTAATTCTACAGATCTGCATGCAATAACACATGGATAGAAGTTAAAGTTAACTTATGTTTGATTGATATTTTGTAGGATTAAGAGGGTACATAAGAGAAGGACTGAACTATAAAGTCAGAATCCATAGCAAATGGTAAATAAATACTTACCTGTGTTTTTTTTTTTTTTGGTTGAATGGAAAAAGATATTTTCATTAAATATTTTGTTGCTAGTTCTAAATTGTACTTGTTGGTTGTTACTTGTTTGTAAAGAGTGTCCAAAAATGACTGTGCAAACACAACTGAGACTGCTGACATGATGCTTTTACAGCACCGTGGCAATGAGTGGTGCTTTCCTGTAGCATCCTCCACTCTGCTTTACAGACATTTGTTTTCTCCATTATTTTTCTCTTCCACATTAAAGAACATCAATTTAGGGTTAACTATTTAAGGCTCTTGCATGAGGACTCTTATCACTCTGGGTCCATAAGCAAGATCCTATATACTATTAAGGGATATTTCTCTTTCTCTAAATAAAATGAATTATTTGTGGTTGGATTTTGTGTGTTGTATGTTACATTAAAAGAAATCCACGCTTCACTTTTTTTAATACAGATTTATAAATGTAATTAGCAACAATGAAAAATATGAACATACCATGGATGAGAATAAGTTTGACATTATAAATCATTACAAGGAGGTCAACATACTTAATAAAAAATGCAAAGGAGGTTGGTTGCATGAGCACTTTCAGGCACTGATAAGATGTACAGTATGATGGGACAACATAGGCGTCTTTGACCTGTGGCTGTCTGTACTGTATACATTAAAAAAAAACAAGAAAAAATGTAACTTAAACAAAACACAAAATCCAAAATAAAATGAGGAAATCATACAATTGTGTTTTTTTCTTTCTTTAAGTAGGAGAGTGAAAGGTTTCAGTGCATTCATGTAGACAACTACACCTTTCCAATGGTGAAGTTGTCCAGCAACCAAAAACACAATTAAAGGCGCAATTAAGTTTGAACAAATCTTTTTTTTCCTTTTTTTTTTTATTATTCACTAAAGAATATTGAAAAAAAGAATATTCACTAAAGAATATTTATATTTGATAGGAGCCATTAAGGATGGTTATAAACCTTAACTAAAGCAGTAACAATGAAGTTTGATAAAATAAAAACATGGCGCAAATTAAAAAAGCTTTCTGTTAAATACATCACAGTATTTTCAACATTATATGGAACACAACCTTTCTACTGTAAATTAGGAATTAATGGAATAATGCAAAATGGAACAATGCAGGCAGAAAACCCAAATAAAGGAAGGTAACATGTACCTCTAGGCTCATTTTTATGCTCATAATGATAAACAAGTACAGATTTGGACTCCGGTTTTCAATGGGTCTAGACATCCTGTTTAAAATGAGTGTGTTTGCTATTTGCCAAACCAAGTCTTCAGCTTCAGAGACTTTTTATCTGCTGTGTGATTCAGAGATCAGGGGTCTAACAATCATTTTAAAGAAATTGCAATAACTTTGGATAAGATAGGTAAAAAAAAAAAAAAGCAAAGCAAAATTTTAAAAACTTCGAAGAACTGCCGTTTAAAAAAAGTTTTCTTTGACAGCACATGAACAACTCTGACAGATTGAATTTGTTTTTTTTGTACACTGCTGTGCTTTTCTGTAATATGTGATGAAAAAAAAACACAAAGAATATGAAACCTAGAAGTGAAGTCCTACTTTTGAAACCTTGTTCTTAGCAGTAAGTTGGAACTTCTTTCAAAATACCAAGAAGTGTAATTATCCGACACTTGATCACTTATGTCTGCTTCTGTCTCGTTTTTTTTCTTCATGTATTTAGCTTTATTTAACAAGGTTAGTCCCTCTGTGATCTATTATCTATTTTTCAAGATAAACCTGGCCAAAAGAACATCAGCATATGAGTTACAACATATAAAACACATTAAAAAAAGTATAGAAAAAATTAAAAACGTTAAAACTCTGCAGAAACTCTCACCTAAAACATTTATGTAAATCCCTTTATTGTTCCATGATGGGGAAATTTGTTCTCTGCATTTGACCCATCCCCTTGATTGCAGGGATTTCTGTGTCACAAGGGCTTGAATGTGGAGCTCATCCAGGAGGAGCATGTCTTGCAAGTCAATGACTTGATGCAATCAACTGTTTTTTCTTTGGCAGAACTTTTAATCAATCTGACTGTATTGTCTCTACAAAGCGCCTTCAGATGACTTGTGTTGTGAATTGGCACTAAATAACTAAACTGAATTAATGCTGATTGTTTCCTCAAAGCAGAAAAAAAAAAACCGAATAAAAAGGGGCAGTAAAGCAGGGGAAGCATCAGCTTTTAAAGGTGATTAAAAAAAAGCAAACTGTACAGAGCTGAGTGGTTTCTCTGGCTGGTTAAAGCTGAAGTCTGTAAGTTTTTAAAAATCACTTTTTTGACATATTGGCTAAAACTGTCCCTATGCCCAGACAGCAGTACATGTGATATGTAACCTGTGAAAAAAACTGCTTCAATTGGTACCGCCTACTGCCTGTATTTCAATCTGGAAAGAATATTTCGGGACGAGTTAAAACAACCAATCACAGCCAGAGGAGCGTCTGATGGAGTGTCAATCACAGCTCACACACGCTGAATCCCGCCCCCGCTTAACCTGCCGCAGCGCCCGGCTGCCGCAGTCAGGAGGACGCGCGTGGAAGTCATGGCGGAGCGACAGCCACCAGCGAAAGAGAAACTGCCCTTACTGCCCCTGCCGACAACTGCTTACACGGCAAACTTCGGTATAACCAGCATCTTATATCTAGCTGCTTGGAGGTGAGTGTTATCGCTCTTACCGGTTCACACTCCATGCCGCGTATGCTGCTTGGGCGCTTCTGGTCGCATGCGGTAGCCGCGCAGATGCTGTGAGAGGGGTGGAGCTTGGAGGTGGGGCATGAGTGAAGCAGAGAGGGTGGGGGAGCGGCGTGAAACCTGTTTTTCTTCAAATTTTCAGTCGAAGTCTGCTCTCTTCTCAATGTTACAGACTGCAGCTTTAAAGACCAGAGCCTACTTTTCATCTTTAACCACACTGGTGATCTCAGCCGAGTTGGTGAGACTGTCATTCTCGTCCAAATCATCTGCTTTTTCATTCGGAATTGAGTATTTCACCTTCTTGGGTAATTCATAGTTGCTTATGGTGCTGCGAGCTGTGCTGCGTCGCCGAGCCAATTCAGCCAGATCCTCAGCTAGAACGCTCTCCATGACTTCCCCCAAGGAATGCCTGATTTTACGACACAGGTCAGGACAGCTGAAGACATACAGGACAGGATTGAGGACACTGTTGAGAAACCCAATCGTTGCTGAAATTGGAAGACTTTTAGTCGCCAATTTCTGTGCAGGACTTCCGCTGGTAGCCATCACCTCTATGATGATGAAAATATGGTATGGTGCCCAGCAGATGATAAAGGTCACCACTACTGCAATGACGAGTCGAACAAATCGAAAAGGCCTCCGACAGCCTCTTCGTGCTAAACTTAAATTCACAAATATGTAGCTGAGAATGATAACTGCAAGAGGGATCAGGAAAGCAAAAAAGAGTTTCATAAAAGCCAAACCTTCTTTGCGTTGCCGACATAGGGCTTCCAAATCATAGGGTCGGCTAGGGAGATACAGCGAGTATCTGTAGTAGCACAAAATCTTGCCGCTTGGAAGGGGAATAGCATCACGGAACATGTAAAAGGGGATGCAGCAGATAACAGCGAAGGCCCAAATCAGACAACAAATCTTCCACACAAGCTGTATGCTTCGGTAGTTCTGAGCCCACACAGGTTGTACTACCACCAGGCAGCGGTCCAGAGAAATGGCTGCCAGAAGAAAGCCGCTGACGAACATGTTGAGGAAAAAGACGGCGGAATGGATGCGACAGAAGGTAGAGCCCAAAGTCCAGGTGTTACCTCGAGCAAAGTAGGCCGTAAAGACTGGCAGTGAGGATGTGGCCAGCATGTCTGACATTGCTAGGTTCAGGATCCAGATGCTGATGATGGAGCGTTTGACACGAAAGCCCACCACTACCAGGATGATCAGGTTTTCTATGATGCCTATAGTAGACACAATTCCATGGAGGGAGATGGTAAAAATGCTCAATGAGCTCAGCTTTCCTGGAGCAAATGTTTGGTTTGGTGCTGCTGATGTGTTGGAGTGAAAGCAGTCCATGCCCATCTTGGAGGGAAGAGATGCTTTTGAATTTCAGAGTAATCTAAAACAAAATAAAAACACAAATAATTAATGAAAATTAATTGCATGGCTACAATAATAGAAACCATGACAAAAAGAGGTTTGCATTACTTATGAATATAATGTAGATAGATTTACATACTTAAAAGTAAGTTTACGTTGATGTGATTGAAATGTAAATCTTCTACCTAACGTCTCATTCCTATTTGCAATCTGTTTATGAGAATTACCAGTTTAAACAAGAAAACCCAAACATCTCTCTCCTAGCAAACTCTCTAGTGTCAGGAGGATCCCTAGGCTTTCCAAGGCAACAAGGGATATACTCCCTCCGGCAGGTTCTGAAACTTTCCTGCAATCTTGGGAAGGCCATGAGAAAACCTCCAGTTGTCCCTCAGATCAACACCTCATCCCCTTAATTGACTCATTTTGATGCAAAGAAGCAGTGGCTCTACTATGAATCCCCTCACCCATCTCTAAACCCGGGCCAAACTGGTTGCAAACGACTTTTTTCCATGTCACGCTACATATGGAGGGTTTCAGAAACGCAGGGTGAGCAGATCGCAGTTGGTGCTGATCTTTTTTTTTTACTTCTGGCCCACAAATGAAAACAGTTTCCCAAATCTGACTGATACAGATGAAAAGGAAAATATATAAACAACCAGCACAGCTACAAAGCAAAGCCCCCTTTCATGATCAGACTGCTTTACAGCATCTCAAAGCAGAACAGATAGAGGATTAGATTAAAAATATAATTGAAACTAGTTTTAAATAAGAGGAAAGGCTGTGGTATGGTTGTATAAGTACTGATTGAGGCAGTGAGAGGTGATTCAGACAGCTTTCTGCAAAATTTGCACAAAGCTTTCCTGTCCTTATGAACACCTATCATGGGTAAAGTTTTCTGTTTCAAAAATGTTTAATTCATCGTTTATACCCCAGTCTATCCTGTGCGACTCCAAACCTGACTGTTTTCTCTTGGCATTGACAGATTTTAGTTTGTATTTTCTCCTAAAACTGTCATGTTGGTTTGTAGTTTTTTGACCCACGTGCAGAATCACATGGAGACCCAGTGAATTTTTCCATTTTATTTACAAAAGCAACAAGAATCTGGGAGCAGAGAACTAGAGGAAGTCAGCTTAACTTTCTGGCTGATCTGAGGGAAAGCAGGGAAAGGTAGCATGGATCTGTAGGAGTTTGATTCAGCGGGCTTTGTACTTTTCAGACTGTACCCTAGAGATCCAGGAGAATGTGAGTGAGATCTCAGAAAGCTGGTTCTTGCAAGAAACATCGTGCTGGACAGCAGGTAGGCAGGTGATGAAGACAGAGACCTGCTGCACACATGAGGTAAGACCTTTCCATCAAGATCGGAGATGAACTCAGGTTCACTGGTTGTTTAAAACAATAATACCTTCAAAGAGATTCCCAACAATAAAATTTCCAAAAGAAAGATATTCCTGTTTTAGGTCTTTAGGAATACCATCAGGGGTAATCATCCAGCAAAGAGAGATGATCCTTCCCCTCGATATTCACAAGCTAGTCGTTGAGAAATGTTCTCAAGTGTGCAGCAACATGGGTCGGCCAAGCCACCAGCAAAGATCCTCTCTGTAACAGGAAGCTCACTGACACCAGTAAAAAAAAGAAAACCCTAGAGACCCTAAAACAAACTGGATGTGTGTTGAATTGTAACAGCATCTCTTTTCTTGTGAGACCCATGAAATGTCAGCTTAATTTCTGCATAGTCACACTAAAATAGACCGGGGGTCTATCTCAGTCGGAGCTACGCAAGCCCCCTAAAGAAAATCGCGTCAGGTGTTATCATTCACATTGACACTCAGTGAGTGCTTAATGACATAACCTCGTCCGACACGAGTTTCTGTCAAATCAGCTGCAACATCGCATTCGTTTTGTTCAGGGGAGAGTCCAGCTACATATTTCAGATGCTTTACAGAGGCATCTTGTTCTTATGATCATGAGTTAATACCACAGGTAAGAGTGAAAATGTACACAGAGTGGTAAATCTTCTCTTTGGTCAGTCTTTTTCTTTTACACTGGGACCAGTTGGAGCAGCGGCAGCACTGCTGTTTCCCACAATTATTTGTAAAGCAAACATGAAAGCACTTAAACTGCTTGGGGAAAAGACTTGCTTCCAATCAAGACGGAGCATTCACTTTTTATGTGGCTGGCCTTAGACTTTTCTGGGTTGTAAAACAATCTGGAAGAAAATGTCCCAATCTTTTCAACATCACTCGTTCACTTCAGTTTGTCTTCTTAGAATAAATGGGTTAACAAAGGCAGTTTATGGCTGACTCAATGACTAAAAGGTGCCGGAGTCCTGTGGGTTCAAAGCAAACCGTTCACCACCATCTTTCACACTTGGTGGATGAGTTTTTTTTCTATCATGTTGACATGCTGTGCATAATAAGAAAAAAAAAAACACTAGTTTGATAATGTGTAGCACTTAGGTTTAGTTTTAGCACATTATTAATCGGGGACTGTTCCCATTGAATCTGTTCAGGAAGAGGAGAGACAATAAATGAGCGGTTTGCTTGAAACGAACTACAAGAAAACTTTCACTTACAGCTCATGTATTCTTAGCCGTTGTTGAAAACTAAGATGCAGATGTTGCTTACCCTCAAATTCAGCCGTGCAAGAAGATTTATATCCATTAAAATTCAAAATTAAGTACTTTTAGCCTATATAGCATTATCTACATTATCAGGAATGCACCTGAATGTCAGCAGCCCCAAAATTTGCACGCAAAACAATAATCCCCTTTTCAGTTATATAACCGTAGAGGTTTCCTAATGCAATAGACTTTATAACAGGTTACTTTAGGTCCCTTTTGATATTTCAAAGAGAGGTACATGATTACAAACACTCTTGGTGGTATTATAGTTGAACTTTAATGATAAAATACTGTATTAATGAGTTCATTGATGCTTTAACATGCACACAATAACATGCAGTTTAGGATCACTTGGTGCATCCAACATTTTAACATTACTATTTAGGAGTTATTATTACTTCAACTTGGTATTTATAAAGCAATAATAAGGAGTAATTCTTTATTTCAGATAAAAAGAGCTAAAAAAAAAGGTGATGTTAAAACTACATAAGTATAGTATAAGTATAATTTTAGAAAAGAATAAGGTGTGGCATCACACACCATGTCTCTGTGTTGTCTTCCGGCTGCAAGTTTAAAAGCTGTGGTTGGCTCAGTATACATGTATGTCAATGTAAGTAGCTTACGGTTTGGCCCCTCCATGCCCAGAAAAAAGGAAACTGAGTTATAAGTTTTGGTCTACAGATGAAGCTGCCACTCTGAGTCCCTGAGCAAGACCCTTAACCCCACACTGCTCCCAGAGGGCCACAAAATGGCAGCCCACTGCTCTGCAAGGGGATGGGTTAAATGCACAAAGAGTGAATTTCATTGCTTTGTACTTGTGACAGTGTAATGACAATAAAGTTGAATTCTCCTTTTTCTACAATAAAGGATGAATGCAATTAATTGTTTCAGGCCTAAACACCACTACTTCTTTTAAAGTCCACCTGCGCAAATGCAATTTGTTTTATCATTAAAGTACATTGAGCTATCACGAACCCCAGAGTATTTATACAGATGACAAAGTTCTGTATTTTGACCTTTAATAACATTTTTCCTAAATGCAATTTGGTTGTGTCCTATATTCACTCACAGGCAATTTGTGTAAAACCTCTAATTTAGCATCTGTGACACAGTACATTCTAATCTGATAAACCACAATTTTGTTGGGGGGGGGTCCAAACACTGTGCCTTTAAAATATTTTAATGTAAAAAAGCCATGAAAATTATGTAAAGATTGCAAAACTTTCTTGGGACATGCATGAATAGGAAGCCTGTCAGTAGTTGATCACGTTTGAATCACTTTTCCTTCCCGGTATGTGGACGTCCTGAGTAACGTGCCAATAACACCCCACCAACTTTTGCATTTGTAATGCACTTTATATTTACACAAATCCTTAAGTGCTACATATTAAATCAGGTAAGTGCTAAATAAAAACACATGAAAATAAGAAAGAAGTAAAAAATAAATAAAATGAACAAAGACAGTAAGTCAAAGGACAGGATATCAATTTAAACATCTCCTAAAAAGGTGGGTTTTAAGGCCACATTCAAAAGCATCCAGTCTGTGGGGTCCTCATGTGGTTCTGGGAGAGCATTCCACAGCCTGGGAGCAGCTGAGCAGAAAGCCTAGCTCATCATAAGTCCTCCTCAACATACCTATGGCCGCCCAACCCTACAGCTAGCTTTCACTGTTTAAAGTGTTCATATTAACATTACCCTTCCACTTGCTTCTCTTATGTAATCAGAATAAAAACCCACCCCTGCATTTATGCATAATTCTAATCCACTCATGTAGTGTTTAACACCGAATAACGCCATCATTAAGATGAATATGAGTTTTAATTTTAGCTTTTTTATTTATATTTAAAAAAATGTTTGAATAGTTTAAGAGCTTCTGGTTTATTCTGAAAAAAAAAATCATCATTCATTTCATCCCAACTGGAAGCTTAAACCCACGTGTTTGCCAGGAAAAATAAACACAGCATTCAACATTTCCAGTGTTTTACCTGCAGTTTTACTTTGGTATGCATTTTTTCCACTGCTAAAAAGAAAATGAACGGCTCAGTTGGCAGCTGATACCCGGTACCCTCCCTCTGAGTTTTTAACAGCAGCTTTTCTCACATCACCCACATCCTCTTAATATTTTTAAACATTGCTGCAAAACTACACAGTTTGATCTCATAATTTCAGATACACTTCAAAGTAATATGTATAGATGACATTTAAAAGGAAAAAATATACAGTCCAGGTTATCAAGAAGATCAAACTGCTCTTAAGTTGCTAATATTAGTTAAACAATGCAAGCCAGTTAAAAAGCAAGCATACACTGGACTAATTCCCATAGTGTACAATCTGAATTAATGTGTGTGCACAGTTGTGCATCTATGTGTCACCCTGTGGTGCACTGGTGACCTGTCCAG